AGGGTAATATAATGGAACATCAGGGTTACACCATGGAACATCAGGGTTACACCATGGAACATCAGGGTAATATAATGGAACATCAGGGTAATACATGGAACATCAGGGTAATACATGGAACATGGAACATCAGGGTAACACCATGGAACATCAGGGTAATACCATGGAACATCAGGGTAACACCATGGAACATCAGGGTAACACCACAGAACATCAGGGTAATATAATGGAACATCAGGGTTACACCATGGAACATCAGGGTTACACAATGGAACATCAGGGTAATATAATGGAACATCAGGGTAATACCATGGAACATCAGGGTAACACCATGGAACATCAGGGTAACACCATGGAACATCAGGGTAATAACACCATGGAACATCAGGGTAACACCATGGAACATCAGGTTAACACCATGGAACATCAGGGTAATACCATGGAACATCAGGTTAACACAATGGAACATCAGGGTAATACCATGGAACATCAGGGTAATACCATGGAACATCAGGGTAATACCAAGGAACATCAGGGTAACACCATGGAACATCAGGGTAACACCATGGAACATCAGGGTAACACCATGGAACATCAGGTTAACACCATGGAACATCAGGGTAATACCATGGAACATCAGGGTAACACCATGGAACATCAGGGTAACACCATGGAACATCAGGGTAACACCATGGAACATCAGGGTAACACCATGGAACATCAGGGTAATACCATGGAACATCAGGGTAACACCATGGAACATCAGGGTAATACCATGGAACATCAGGGTAATATAATGGAACATCAGGGTAACACCATGGAACATCAGGGTAACACCATGGAACATCAGGGTAACACCATGGAACATTAGGGAAAATTAACTGAAACAAAGTTAATTGTTTCGACAATAGAATTGATTCCTTACTGTTATCGCCTTTCTAAGATTTATTAGTAGGAGGAGATAGATAATGTCCCAGCACACATTGTTTGCTAGGACGCGAACACTTTAAGGACAAATAGGTATGTACTATTTATCCTTGGCATTTCTTATTTCGTGATTTATCCTTTAATAGACAAAGAGAAGAATCAGAAACCACTTTAAATGCTTACTATAGAAAACTATTATTCGTTATCAGCAATATTCGTAGTCTAAAAGTGATCTTTGGTTCCCACATTTTTGTTTTTCTGTATCATTTTATCAAATGCAAGTTGTTACTAAAACTAGAAAATACCGACATGTCAACAGACTCATAATCCAGACTCCAATTTAATAAATCTAGGGCAAAGGATGAATAAAAGAAAGGTTTACACGGAGACTCCTGAAAAATTTCATGGATAATAAGACCAGCTATGTCCATCTTTGTTAATCAAAGTACTTAGAGTCATTTACCAAATGAGAACAGTACATACCACAACGAAACCACCAGCCATACTAAAATCACTCAAGGAAATAGAATACTTTCTGTTGACGAGAGAAAACTTCCAGGTACACGTAGTCAACCTACATCTCTCGATATCGTATATTGTGAGTTTATCTGTCAGTTGTCGACATTTTGTACTAAAATCGTGATATTGGGATCAAGTCCTTGAATATCGAATCAATTGTGACATAAACACACCATTTGTTGGGAAAAGGGGGATGTCGCTATCCAGAGATGAAAAATTAACGACAGGGAAATTGAAATCATATGCCTTGGTGGAGAGTGGTCGACAATGTAAGAAAAAGTCGAGGTAAGCGGCTGATAGAGTCTGTCGTGGCATGATTTCAAATTCTGGCGAATATATAACATGGTCAATCAGTTTCTTGTGATATAAAGGATAGTTCATGAGCTGTCATGTCATTCTGATTTATAAAATGAGTTCAATAATTTAATGTGACACGCGCCTTTCTAAGGTGAATATATGAAGCTATACAGTGAGGGAAATCAAATCCTATTTATCGGATATCTTATATTCACCTAATAGCAGAGAAAAATCAATCAGTTACCTTATATATCTGCTTTTTTCATTTCTGAAATGGCTATGTAACGTCATTTTAATGACTTTCGATACGACCATCTTTGACTATGAGTACTTGTACAAGTGATGTATTTGTGACTTCAGTAATATACTTCCTTCAATACCTTCTGTCTGTAGTTAAAATTCTGGGGATCTTACCCAGGTTTTAGTGAGATTTATAAATTCATAAATCTTATATAAACTCGAAACGAATTTATTATTCTTTTTATCACATATATGATATATATTTTTGCAACCATTCCTGAAACAGCATTTTATTAGCATGATAAAAGTTCTAAAAAGGATATATCCTCACTCTATACCATAGCTGTTTCATTGGTGACATCACAATGCATATTATCTCATACATCACAACCTTTCAGCCAATCACAGCTCCACGAGGGCATATTACACACTTAATAATAATAAAACAATATGTGGTGAATATTGTTACGGTGATAACAAGACAGCTAAATGAAAAAGTTCTCGTCACAAGAGTCGTCATTTCCTGTATTTATAACACAGGAGTCATTATGTCATTGTGTCAGTTGTGATGGTGAACCATCATCGATGTCGACACTATTGATGTCAGACAATATCGTATTATCACGAGGTTACTTGTATTAAAAATAAAGACTTATTCTTGGTGATGATGCATTAGACGCATGTAAGCTATTTCTATATGCCGTAATTCCCTAGATAGGTGAAGACATTCATCTTTTTCCGGCTAAAAAAGGCATACACCTGTGAGGTGTGGGAGAAAAAAAATCTTAACCTTCGGTCAGTACAAAACTCCTGTTTATAAGAAACGCACACAGAACAATCCTTAAATGAGTGTTGGAGTACCTGTATCCCGAATCATTTTCTGACAGTCCATAAACACTGAAACCTTTACACAATAGTTTATATTTCTTAAAAACTGTCAGCTGACTAATATTGGTTTTTAGTAAATATTTTAATACAGTTATGTACAGAAGTGTAAAACTTCTGTCATATAGAAATTTAGTTCATTTATCAGAGTTTTGGCACAGAGACTAATTATTGTTTCTAGCGGTAAGATTTGTACATCACCTAAACCATCAAATGTGTTTCTTATGAATGACACTTTAGAAGACTATGTATATATATTATAGAATACGCCTCCCATTTTCCTCACATAAAACACAAAAATAATGACATTTTCATACAGGCTCGTTTTAATGTATGTTTTAATAAATTACACACAATAGGACAGCTACACATTAATAGCCGACAGGCACAATACACTGCATATTCATCAACGTACTACACACATAACGCCAGGTCTATTTCGTGATCAACTCTGATTTATAGGCGCTGGCCATCTGTCCGATATTTACATAACTGATGACTGTTTGTATAAAATTGTAATTGTGATCGATTGATTTACATACAGTAACAGGTCACACTTGTGTTAAAAAGATGTAAATATATTCAACATTTGAATATTTTTTATCTTGTGTTACTGATGAGTGCTAGACACATCAATTCAAAGTATACATCAATATAAAATGGAATTGATTGACAAAATAAGACATTACTTAATTCAACTAACTGTATAAGACCTTTTGTATTAATAAAACACAGAGGTCTTACACAGAAAAACGTTTGTGTAAATGAATAAGTTCTCTTCTCCCAATCAATCATTTCATTATAATGATAACGAGTTTTACAATAATTAGTCTAGATATGTAACTAAATCACGGCATGAATAATAAAACTACAAGGTTTTCTCTAGATACAGCATATACCGACTAGAAAAAGGAAACAGCTTCATTACTTATAATGTCATTCTAGCACTGTTTGGAAGTTCAGAAGGGATGTCAAACATCATATCTAAATCTGCTGGCAAATTATAAGATGTACACTAACGACAAATTTAACATTAAAAAAAAATTGTCTTATTTTTGAAAATTTGATAACTTGACGGACAAGGTATGTCGATTTATAAATTCAACCGATACAACATGATTTAACATTAGTGATTAAGTCTGTAAAATTTTTGACATAACAATCAATAGATGATAATAAATAGTTTTACTATAATGTATGAATATGTAAATATTTGGACTCGTTAGCACTATACAATATGGATATTTAAGCTCTACTAAATACACTAGGTAGGTTAGAAACTCGTACGATCCCGCTGATACACACCATTATTAGTCACATTTACAGACACGTCCGACAATTTACATTAATTGTCGGACTAGTCAGATTTTGAATTACTTATCACATTTACAAATGTAACCATGATAACATGAATAATACATTTCATTTCCTAGGTTCACTTTCTCTCTAAATATTTCTATGTGAGAATCCGGTGTTCGCTTCGAATGTTTGTGTCAAGATTCCAAAAACATAACTGTCGATTTGAACTTATGAACACAATAAATATATTTCAGCTAGAATTAACATATCATTATACACTTGATATCAGCGAACGTGAATCCGTCTGTAACAAGTCCGATATTCAAAAATACATACGTTGCAATATTTGTAGATATACACACATTAGTTTGGCAATCGTTATATATAAAACCGCACACGAGACTATGTCCACGTTCAAAATTTGAATTACCACTTTTATAAAGTATAATTAGGTTACGTTAGTCTAGATGTAATATAATTATCATATTATTATGCATTTAAACGTAACGATTTGGATTTCCGTATGAAAGCACAAAATTGTTCTTATAAAACATTCCTATAATTCCAAGGCAAGGAAGTCTTACATTACTACCACGTGGTATTCTTGTCAAGTGCTTTGGTCGATGGATTTCAAATGGTGTCACTCGGTTGTAACATGGATCCCTTTTCCACTGACACACGGACATATGATGTAACAATCTGATACAACCTTGTAGGCAGGGTCAATAATTCACCAAAACACTCATCACAATGTGTGCTACTCACACTCTTACCATGTCACTTTGGCACTTTGTTCGGATAATGTTCTTTCACATAATAGTCATACTGTAAATTTACACTGTCTTATCGTCCGGTAGAATATTGCGAGCCCTTCCTCTCAGGTTAGTAAAAAATGAATGCATTTTCTTTATATCTTGTAGAAAAGATTGATGCATTGCATTTTTTGTCTCAACGACTGGTTTAGAGGTTGTTAGAGATGGTATCGTGACGGTCCCAGGAAACACAACGTCTTCCTCTTGACTAGAGTGTTGTGATTTCCTATCAAACATTGCTGATATCACGGGCCTTCTTTTCCTTCCAGAAAGTTTTGAAGGGAATAAAACGATTTCTTCTTTAGAAGATACCGGCGCCTTACTAGGTAGTTTTAATTTCTGATTTTGAACTGATGGGAGTGTTGTGGATGGCATGGATGTTGTAGTCTGACTGCCAACTGTAGACGTTGGATCTAGTGTTGTTGTTGTCGATGATCTCTGTGTTGTTGTAGAAGGTGATATCGCCGATGTCATTTTGTCAGAATATGGTTTTTTTGTCCTTGGTGTAGAAGTTGATGCATCAGACAATGATGTGCTAGGGGTTTCTGTAGGTGATCCATTTGTTGTCGGTTTCAAATTTGACAGAGGTTTTGCTACATAAGTATCCGGTACAATTTGCCCTGCAGTCACTAAGGGGACGTGCTCTTTAAAGTTTTGACTATTAGAACCGTATGTAGTACCTTGAACATCCGTTGTGGATTCAATAGTGCTTGTTGTATCGGTGGGAAGTTTAGGTGATGTCGTGGTAACGGAAGTCTCCGACGTCACTGTCACAGATTCTGTATCACTTGTAGTCTTCTCAGTGTTTGCTTTCCTCTGGATTTGAGCAATAACTCTAGGAGAAGTTGTTTTGGTTGGAACTGTAGATACGGTGGAAGCAACCGTAACATCACTTGCCGTCTGTTTTTGGATAGTGGTTGAACGTTTTGACTGAGAAAAAGTAATTGTAGAAGTTTCTGGAACAGCGTCAGTTAACATTGTTGAAGGCGTGGTAGGTCCAGCTTCAGTATGTGTGGAAGTGGTGAGGTGTTCTGAAGTAGTCGGTTGACTCATTATAGTAGTATGAGGAACCGTTGTTGTCCCTCTTGTTGGAGTTTCTGTTGTTTCATCAGTTGTAGCTGATGTATCAGTTTTGTAATTTGCACTCGAAGATGCCGTTGGTGCACCAGTAGTTGTTCCGTCAACGTTAGTCGTAATTGCACCTGTAGTTGTAGAGGCGGACACAACAACGGTACCCGTTGTAACCGTTTGAGGGATAGAAGAAGTTGAAGTTGTCATTGCAGCTGTTACCAAATCTTTATTGGTAACAGTTGATGAAGGACCTGTACTAGTTTGGGTTGTAGTTGTTGAAGACGTTGGTGTCACATTATTGTTCTCAGTTAGGGTCGTTGATACAACTGTTGTGATCGTACTTGTTGTTGTTGCTGTTGTACTTGTTGTTTTAGGGGTTTTAGTTGTCAACTTTGCTTTTGTACTGGATACCTTGATAATTTCAGGTTGAGGTTTGGCCACCAATTCCGACTTTTGCGCTCCTTTGGACAAAGATTGTACTGTATCCTTCAACTCACACAGATATCCTCGCCATCCTGGCTCACAACTGCACATCCACTGGCATGAATCGAGAGAAACTGACTCAGTGCATTTTCCATGCTCACACAGTGGTCCAAATATTTTGCACCCGTTTTTGATGCACGGGTTAACGTCATTTGCTGCCAAATCCTTTGTCGGTGGAGGTAGAGGTTGTGCCTTTTCTTCTGGCTTTAATTTTCCTAACAGTTTTGGTGGCCACAGAGAATTAGCCTGTACTCCATTATGAGAGTTTAAAGAAATTATATAAAGCAGCAATCCATATTTCAAGCACATGCTTGCAACACTTTTAATTAAATCACAACTGTGCATTGTTTATTTGAAGCAGTTATTGTATTATATCTCAGAAGTGATATTGTCTGGTCACTCAAAAACTGGGTCGTCCAGCTCACAGCGTGTATTTACATCAAATGTATTTATATGTTCGTACTTGTATACATATAACGTCCACAGGGGCTCTCCCCTACGTCCTTACTACACGTACGTCTGACGCACACACAATGTCAATGTTTTATGGACAGTGTCACATATTTTATAAAAGCAATGAATCGAAACCACAGTTTCGCTCTCTCAGTTCGATTATCAGAAGAAATTCTCGTGTCACAGTTGAGTTAGATAAACAATAACCGACGTTGAAGTATTCCGCTCCAGACGTGCGGCAGTGGTGTAACGCTCTTCCGGCAGTCGGTGAATGTATGGACGATGAGATAAGTAACTGGCGTCTTATACTAGGTGGCAGAGACGGATGTCATTTATACGCCTCCGGCTTTATTACGAATATTATAACTTCATTTGCAAAGCAAATGCCTTATTTAGATATAAATATATGCCTATTCCCACCAAAGTAATTTGTTAATGTTTAAATCTGACAAAAATCCAAAAGTTGAATATTTTCTGCAACTGTCGACATATCTATTCCTCATTTTGTAAAATTATTTTCTTTAATTGTATCAAATTCAGTAAATGCCACGTTTTGTTCTCACCTGTTGTTTTGTTTTATCCAGTGTCGTCACACGTGGTTACGCTAAGGTGAGGAAGACATATCGATTTGTACGCTTAAAAGAACCTTACGTATTTTGTAGAAAAATAATGATAGCACAGAAAACAGTGCCCGCCGCTAGCTACGCCAGTGTGGATAATTGATGACAATTTGAGTTTTCACTTGTACATCTAAAATGCTCTTTTAAACTTTTCAATGGTATAAAAAAAACTATCCGCCGCGAGAAACCCCGTCAATCCTTTTAGACCAGTACTTGTAAACAGCATCCATTGTGTTGCAATAATTAGAAGTAAACTGATCACTCTAAACGAGCTTGTGCGCTTGACACACAGTTTATGCACGTGCTATTGTCATATTTTCTTAACAACTGTCTTTTTTGTACGGCAATAAGAATACAAGACTAGAACTACAGAGTCACGATATTCATGATAAAATCTCTCCTATTAGCACTGACTTTTGTAATGTCTTCTATTACATTTTGTTTTACTATCAATTATCTCTGGTTTATTTACTGACGTAACGTAGCATGACGCCGTGTGCTTATCGTTTTCCCCGACTGATTGATCGGTGATAGCTGTTCAGGTAATCTGTATTGACCGACATTTAGGAAAAAAAGAGTCCATAAGCATGTGTTTATACGCCGTCAAACCTAGCATGGTTTCCGGTCACCCCGCGATCACTCCTTCACAAATTACAGATCACGACAGAGAGGTGTGTTATTGGATGGGGAACAGAAATGTTTTCATTTTCTTTGTTTGCCGATAAGATTGCTGAATTCATCATTTTAGTAGGAACTAGTGACTGCCTCGCTGAACATTATACGAGAGGTCGAAAATTTTGGCAAAGTGTCTTGCCGAAGGACACTGCCATGACAGCCAAGGACGACCTATGATATCGGCCTCTTTGAGAAAAAACAACCCACTTCTAGAAGGGATAGAACACAAGCCTAGTATCGTAACCTGGGGTTGCATTCGTCAAATTGTCTACCAATTGAGTTATTAGGCACACCAAAATTTAAAAAAGACTATCATTCAAAATAGAAAATCATCTGACGCAATTTGTTTTAAAAAATGCTCTTGTGGTTCTGGAGTTCTGAAAACAATATTCTGTACTGCCAGCAAACAACTATATATTCCCGACTTATTGACACAAAGCCATTTTTGCCAGATGTTCTGAAAGGGAGTTGTGTTGTGCTATGTTAATTGTTCTGACTATATAAACACTCTCAGGTTATTTGAATTTGACCTTCTCTTACGGTTAATTGTTGTTAGACATGGATTATATATTATTATATTTTCTCGAACAGGGCGACTACACAACGGTGACGTTTCTTTGCTCTAATGACAGTGCTTTATGCAGACGGTGTAGCTGTTATGGCGTTGACATGAGTAACCCTTTGTCAAAAATAACATGATGGTTCGTCATCGGTCGTATATTACTCTGCCTATAAAACATATCTTCACTACAACAATTGAACTTTTCCGGTAGAAACTCGCATAATACCATATAAAGTATTTGATATTGCTTCGTATTTTGTCTTTTTTTTCTCTCTTTTCTCTATTGTGTTCATTTTTCTTATATGTCGCTGTCTAGTTTGCATAGCCAGAGAATAAATTTGCTACGTAACTTTAGAACGTGTTAATGATAATCAACACTTATCACTTTCCTTAAAAATCCTACTTATACGATAAGCTCTATAAAAAGTATTAAATTATATTAAAGATTTAATCTACAAGATATAAACGAAGTCAAAATGTCCTCATTAATGTTGTAGATGCCTCTCTCCATTGTCAGAATATCATTGTAATTGGCCACATGCCAAGACTTTATGATATTACACTTACACATGAGCAATCTTATTCTTCTTGATGTATTTGTAAGAAAATGTAAGCCAGTGATATTTTAATGCACATGCACTTTAAGATGACATTAGCAGTGAAAATATGAGATACGAAGATTTTGAATGTGTTGTCCTAGCTTCTAATCTTATTAAAGTTATTTGTAATCACATTGTCGAGTATTTCTAATCGGGTTCAGCTCTGTTGGAAGCAAGTTTCAAATCAGATTGCTTGTTTGCTAAAGTTTTCACGTCATCACAACAGCCCATATCATGTAAAGGCGGTGTCAACGAATGATGGACAGACGCTTTCATATTGCCTTCACGCTGAACACTGGACAAGTCACTGGGGGCTAGGGCAATTACTCGATGTGATTCACTTTTTTGCTGTTCCATGATTGGTGCAATGGCGTTGGCGGGCCTGGTGACGTTGAAAGCTAAGTTCCCTCACAGGTTCCTAACATCAAATAAAAATTATCTGGATTGACTTTGTGACACTTTGTGACGAAAGCTTTCTTGTTATCCATTTTGCACATAACCTAAACATGTATAGTTTTTATGATGAAGTATATCATATAGGTATTCATATGATAAGTCTGTTGTCTGTACTCATATAATAATACGTCTTTTTCTATTACTAGTTTGTGTATATTGTCAGCGTTTTACGTGCAACTACTGGTTGATGACCGTCTTGACTGTGGGTCATCTTTCTATACTTTCACTCATTTGTAGAAGAGGTGGAAGACTAGTCATGAACGAACTTCGCGCGCTCTCTACCTGTTTTAGGCCAGTGGACCTTTCAGAACTAGAAACATTATCATCGCCCGGTCTCAGTTCTATTCGTTTTAACAACTCACTGCGGTATATCCCTCAGTCAAAGCGAGTAAAAAATGCATTCAGCATGCTCTTCAATGAAGTTTGTAGCTAAGACAAGGATTATTTTATGTTGTGCTTTACCATCATGCTTGAAAAATGTTTGAAATCCCTTTGTAGTCAAGATAGTCACGAACAAGAAAAATGTATTTAGAAAAGAGTCATAAGACAGCTATCTAAAGTGTGGTCGCCTCAGTTCAGTCATGGGAAGGTTGCAGGTACAATTCTTGATTCAGATTAATTTTGTTGCTTTCTTTAATCACAGGTAAAATGTTTAAACCGGTTTGAAGCAACTGTTAATAGCAAATTTCTTTCATGACACAAATTTTGCAGATGGCATGAACCAAAAAATGAAACATTGCAATAAAAATTGTTTTGATGAATATTGATACAAAGCGTACTAAGTGTTAATTATTATATTTTTTTTTACTTGTAACTTCGATGCATGGAACTAGTAATCGTTACTTAGATATATTCATTGATCTAAGTGACAACTATGAAAATATTATAATATATGCGTCTCTGAAAAAATGCCTTATCATTTCTTTAATAAATTATAAAAACCATACGTTTTACATAGTAAACATGCCTGTCAGAATTGAAACAATATCATATATCAGTGAAAGCGGTGAGGCATTATTTCCTGCATTCTTGAAATTAGCATATCTTTTACGAGTAAGGTCGCATCTATCAGCGCTCTTCTCCGATTCTGTATTACCTTTTATCATTGTGTGGTAAATTGTACATCGCCTTTTGATTTGTTGTTATTTTTCCTTTTAAAGTTTGTTTATGACTTTTCTTTTTAAGATGAGACAAGCTCAAAGACTGAAATTACCATGCGAGTTAATAAAACTGGTGCTGGTGTTAGACACTAACTTACACACCTGCACCAGCATGTCGTCTGTTTGAGGTTCTTGAGTTAGACACTAGCTTACACACCTGAACAAGCATGTCGTCTGTTTGAGGTTTTGGAGTTAGACACTAGCTTACACATCTGAACAAGCATGTCGTCTGTTTGAGGTTCTGGAATTAGACATCAGCTTACACACCTGAACAAGCATGTCGTCTGTTTGAGGTTTTGGAGTTAGACACTAGCTTACACATCTGAACAAGCATGTCGTCTGTTTGAGGTTCTGGAATTAGACATCAGTTTTTATACCTGAACAAGTGTGTCGTCCGTCTGTAAGACTTGTATAAGATTTTCTGTTCTAAAAAGCATATATATATTATTCAGTACTGTCAGGCTAACTCTACAGACTACCCAGTTTGCATGAATAGAAGTTTGATTCTCTTATTACACTTGTTCAAAGAATTTTATTTTTCATTTACTGCTTAATCGGTCGGTTATGTAATGACTTTGCCGATATATAGTTTCGCATATGTCACTAGAGTTATATACCCTGTAAAGATTTTCTTTGGCTGTGTCAGTCAGAGATCGATTGTGATATCATGATATTGGCGATGATGTTACGTCATGAATAAAGAAAGGCGCAACAAAATGGATGTCTGAGTTTGATTTTGTTTTCAACATTTTGATTTTAAAAAAACTTTTCTGAGTTATGTGAT